GATTTATGAAACAATTGTGCTATATGATATGTCCATTCTATTACACTGCCTCTTAATCATAATAGAAATATGGTTGCTGGACCAACTTTCTTTGTTAGGTAGAAGATATTGGCTAAAACTCCAGGTGACAGATAGAGATTTCTTCAACTGGAGTTAATGGAGAAGAGATTTACCATTAGTATCTTGGATACTAATTCCAAGAAGTGTGGTGGAAAGGATCCACGCACCACTCTTTCAACCAAGTTTCAACGAAGAAAGAGATCTGCCTGGACATATAGTTCATGAAACACAGTCACATACGCTAAACGACTGATGCTGTAATCTTATACTCCATGATTTGGGAATAAGAGACATTGAATTATATGGGACTGGTCAGTTGTCATGTATAGGATGACCACTATTAGATACCTAGAGCAAGATAGACACCCCCAAGGTAGTTTTTGTATTTGTGTATAAGATTCTGTGACAGAAGAGAATTTCCTTGAATTATGGAGTTTAAAGATCTAGTGTCAAAAGAGAAAGAATGGCCATTTGGTTAATGGCCATTGTTAGCCTTTGGTATCACCATTTGAGAATCACAATGATCAGGATACAGAATGTAAAACATTCTGGTCTGAAAACGTGGAGAACCACCACCAGTCCCTGCAGACAATACTGAGATAAATGGATTGCTATTCTAATTTAAAATATTGTCATTTCTTCTACAAATTGTATCTATTTTGCCTGCTGCAAGGAGGAGACCTAACATACCACAATCCCCCAAAGGGTTTCCAGAACGGGCAGGTTTTGCCAGCTTTCCTAATGTCAACAGGGCTGATGCTTTGGGTTCTTCTGCAAAATGCCAGTTTGCATGATGCAATTTATAAACATAGAAAAAAGCTGAGATTCATTGTCCGAATCCTAATTCTCTTTTTAAAAGTAACATGTATTGTAATATGTTTAAGATGATATTTTAATAGTCACATGAATTTTTATGTAAACTATCCTAGTCCACTTAGTTGGAGAAGCTTATCTCCTTGTTTAGCATTTTACTTGGCTATTTATCCCACTCCCTTTCATCCCAGAGAAACATCTGAGCCCTTATCCTATAATTGCTAAAACATAAATTACAAGAGATCCCAGAAGAATTTGTCTTGTACTGCGAGGCACTGGCTTTTGTAGGTGGAACAGCTTTTTCTTACCCATTACACTTTGATCTGTTTCCCCAATAACTTGTTGCCAGAATATGTTATCACTGAAGTGAAAAAAGGAGAGATGTGGAATGTAGTGAAGCACATTAAGAGCTGGAACAAGCCACTTTAGGAGGAAATCTCAAGAGGAAACAGAGAAACCCTCCAAGCAGTATAAGACAAATACCTTCTACAGCCTACAACATTCTGTCAAAAATGATGCGCACTCACTGGATATATTTGCTAGCACTTTGTGGTTGTTTGGGCACATTAGAAGGCAAATGAAGAAGAATATTGGTACAGTAAGCCTTCAGATTAACTAGCCAGTACTCAGTTAAATAGCAAATGGAATTTTACAGATATATAAAATGGCAAGTAGGATTTTATGCATGCATAAAACGTTGAACAGATATTACCCACCATAACAGAATTCTGCTAAACTGAGGTCCAGGAAACTGAGAGTATACTATAATGGTTTCTTTTGATAAGAAGTTTCAGAGAACTCACTTTCCTTTTCATCTATAAAGCCATAGTTCTGACTGTTGGAAAGTTAACATTGCACATACAGAAACCAAGATCCCACTGAACCAGAAATAATCCATATTTGAACTGAATATAACCTCTCTTCAGGATTGCCCAGCACATTCTCTTTTCTAATGATTATGATGGATAATGAGCTTCATGGGATGTATGATAAACTGTATAATGAATACTTAGTCTATTCAAGTACATAGAGTCTATCTGAATGCACAGGCACATGGAAAAACAATCATGGGCCAAAGACCAGGAGAAGATCAAAGTATGACTGATGGGTAAATACCAAGAATCAGAACATGAACTTCCAGGATCAAGAACTGGACAAAGTTTGAGGACAAAGATCCTGAGAGGGAAGAAAGTAAGTCCTCTACATCTTCCTCCTCCCAAACCTGACAGGACTGTGCTCTGGGTTTTCCAGCCAGCCAGCTTGTTCAGGCAGAGCAGGAGAAATGTGAGGTTTTGGCTTAATTCTAATTGTATTGAAAATACTAGGACTTAAGCACCTAATGAAGATTTCTTTAATGATTCCCTTTTAATAGAACTTAATGTGCATAATTATGATTTATGGATGAAAAGTTGTCCCACATTTTAATGTGAACATATACATATTCAGTTTAATAGGACTCTGGGCACAAAATTATAGTACATCAAACCAGTTCTAAGTAGAAGCATGGCCTGTGAGTTTAGGATTACAGCTGATGCCTCTTAACTAATAGAGCTCTTAAAATTGCTTTAATTATATAATTATCTGCTATCTCAATAATATTTTTAAAAAGACAGTTAAATACAGGAACACCCCCCCCCCCGCTGTTTAAGTACTCATTCTTTCACCATACACACTCAGGAGGGTTACCAAGTTATTTCTCTTTATGTATTCACTTCTCTACAAAAACCGCAACCAAATTTTCTAACATTTTATTATCAAGAATGTCATCCATCTCAAAGGAATTCTTTATATGGAAGATTTGTTCTGTCAGTCTTACATTCCAAACCATTGCCCTTCTCAAGGTTTCAATTTAACTTTAGGTAAATTATATTACCTAGGGCAGATTCCTGAATTTGTCATATCCAGGTGAAGAGAAAGGTCAATCTTATTTGAAACCTTAGAAGATCATGGTACCACAGTTTCAGAGCTCCTGTCTTATTGGAGTTGTTGTGACTCTATTTTAAGATAACTTGGTACGTTCTGATTATTAACTACTTGGATATTTCTCATTTTAATATAACATGACAAATTGTTTATGGAACCTACTGTTGCCTAGTGTAGATAATTACCCCTGAATTTAGTCTAGGAGTTTGGGGCAGAAGCCCAGAGACCCGCTGTGAAGGAATGGTTGGATGAAGGCCGCGCTCGAGGAGATAAGCATTCCCTTAGCCCTCAACAGGAGCGTGGGAAGTTTACAAAGATGAGACTGGCACCACCCTAAGGAATTCACGGTGTTGTGGCTTGCTGGCTTGAGAAGTTAGATTCAGTCTGGAGAGATTCTGTCTTGAGGTGGAAGCTAATAAACGCAACAGAACTGTATCTGCGCTGTCTCAGGGAGTTCTTTGGGCTGAACCTGACATCCGCTTTCTTTCACTTCCTTTCTTTTATTCCATCCATTGTATCAAATGGGCTATGCCAAAATGAGCTGTACCACATTCGGAAGTCTCATCACCTTTATAGCCTACACTAATTCTCTCAGTCTTTTTTCATAAACATAAGTGTGAATCAATCACAGTTTAAGATTTGTATTCATTCCTTTGCCATGTGTGTGCATGGCCAGACCTACTACTTATTCAAAACAGAGCTTTTTTTAAGCAGACACTCACCAGCCCCCATTCTCATTCTTTCTTAAGTCTCTGAATGGGTCAATCTTCTGTACTCTCTCTATGGTGCATTGGACTTTCATTGTTACTGCTCAAACACATTTGGGATTACGTATTGTTACTCAGATACATTGGCCTGCCTGCATATGCTATCATTTTAGCAGACTGGAGTTAATTCTGGAAACTGTGGTAAAGCAAATAGCAGAAAAGCCTAATTCTGACTCTAGTGTCTTTTGTTGAAGAAAGGACATCATAATGGTCTCATCTTGTTCCCACCCACCCATTCCTATCACTAGTCAGATTTTTTTCCTTTGGATTACATTCTTTAGAACATGCCACGTTTTTCCCCATTTCCTCAACTTTAATTATTTCATTATCATCATTCACAGGAGCACCATCTCAGTTGTTTCACAATTATTACCAATGTAAAAATTACTACTTCCATACACCTACAACTATCTGGATGACATTAGTTCATGCTTCTTGATATTTATCTTAGCCAATCCATTCATAATTAATTCTAGATCTTCATACTCCATGCATGGATTCATCCAGGTCACTCTGGAGGATCAGGTCACCTTCATTCAGATCTAATACAACTTTTCCCTTTATTCATTTTTATTTTATTCATTTAATTTATGAATTCATGCTGTTCTACCACTTACTCTTGTTACATTTCAAGTCACAGTCTTCTGTATGCCATTATCATCACCAGATGGGCCCACAGATATTGCCTTCTTATGCCCATCTTGGTTTTAGTCAATTAGGTCTTCTATGTTATGCTTAAGATAGAGAAATATAGACTAGGTTATCAGCCTTAGTGATACCTTTGCCAACAGTAAGGAGACAATATAGGTCAGTTAAGGCACATTTTGGTCAGTTTGTCACAACTGCAATTAAAACCGAGTTTTACTGTAAGTGTGCTGACATTATTCTATGCCATCTAGAAGATTTTTTTTTATCTAGTCCTCCTTTGGATATGGAGTGAAAAAGCATGAAATACTCTGAGCTGCTTGAAAGCTTGCTGTGTTGCTTCACCACCCTCCTCAATTATTCTGCTGGAATAATGCACAGAAAACAGCTATGCGGAGCCTTCCAGCCATTGTGGCTGCTTCACCCCCTCACACAATGGACCAAGAGATCTGTGCATGCTGCATGCCTTCTCTCCTGAGCAAAGTGCCTCACTGAAAGATCTTGTTGCACGGCCATTTGCTTATTTACCTTCTTGATTCCACATTTTAATAACTCTCGCTTCCTAAGATTTTCGCTTACAGTAACAAAAGAATATTTTAAAAAGATTAACAAATGCATACACATCCCTATAGTTCTTCCTGTGTATTTGTATCCTACTCTAGAGAAATTAACTGAGATATATTTTCCCATTTACAACCACTACTGAAATAATACAATAGGGTGGGCTTTTTTGCTACTTTTGTAAGAAAAATAGTAATGTTCAGCGAAGTGTCATACGTGCCATTTACTAACCATTCACCTGAAGAATGTGGGTCTGATACAATTCTTCATAGCCATAGGCATGACACGTGTAATTGCCCATGTGAATAGTTGTTACCTTGGTTATGTAGAGAGAGTCATCTTCTCCAAAATCCTGCATATAAACAAAAAGAGGGTGGGGGGAGGAGAAACCTATCATTTAGCAAATATGTTTGAAATGCTGCAAGAAGCTAAGCTAACACTGGTTGTTTTGACAGCTGCTTTCCTCTGAACTGTGACAGTAGTATTTTCAATGCGTGTAGATTCACTGGGTGAAATGAATAAGAGGCCACATGCAAATACAAAAACAAGAAAAATATTTGCAACTGAGTATCAGTTTCTGATTTCTAGAAAAAACATACACACATAGAATTTAATACCGTGGATCTGTAATTAAAGATGTGACAAATTATAAGGCAAATTACTCTGGGGGATGGCCTTATTCTACGGAGACGGCTAATAAAAGCTCCATGCATTATCTCCTAAATGAAATACTTGAACTGGCCTTCGGTTACCTGGAAAGATACTTTTGTCAATGGATTCTTCCATCCCTTTCTCCCCCAAAATTAGTAATGAAATGGGGATTAGAAAGTTATTTCTTTAAAAAAAAAAACACTTTGATTTTTAATTACCTATATCATGGCTTATCTCATGGGGGGGGGGAACCCTCCTCCTTACTTGGGTTGCTTATTGTATAATTTGGAATGATAATTCTGCTTGAGAAATTGCAATATTTGTGAGGTTTCAAAATATGGGTATGTTGGCCTTATCACGTTGTTCCAAATGAGGCTATACAAGCCTCTATATTGTTGGGTAAACTCAGGCAGCAGCTGCTTTTCTGTTTTCATTAGTATGCAGGAATTGGCTGTGCTGAATTGCTTCTACTTTTATACACAACCCACCACGATACATTTAAAAACCATACTTAATTAGCTTAAAGAATTATCTTCTGTTTTTAATTAGCTTAGGGTATGATGCGTGGAAAATATACCCTTTACGTACAGAGCTTCCATGGTGAAATAGAAAATATTTCTATTATACTATGAACAATAAAACATCAGACACAAAATAATAACAGTGTTTTACTTCTCAGTTCTGAGAAAGGGATTCAGGATTTCCAGAACTGATATATAGAATTATAGGATGTTGGAGCTGAAAAAGACCTTAGCAGACATTTAGTTCCATCTCTTGGTCAATGACAGAATCCCACAATTCCGTTATCTCTGACAAATGGCCAACCTTTGTTTAAACATCTCCCCAAATCAGACTCCACCACCTCCCAATGCTGATATAGTCAGTTTATAGGATCAATGATCTTAAATAACTATTCTCTTCAGTTTGTGAAGCTGTTTTCATTTTTATTTATTGTATATTGATAGTATTTATATGCCACCCATATCACCAAATATGCTTGTTTATTTTTGGTGACATCCATTTTCGTGCCCTTTCCACTTGTTAATTCCAGTCTTGTTCTCTGGAAAAACAGAAAACAGCATGCCCACATAACAGTAGGCCTCCAGGTGCAAATCAAGGTACTGGCTGACATCTTTAAAGCCCTACATGTATGAGCCCAAGTTACTTGTGGGACCATCTCACTCCAATGATTTCTACCTGTATCACCTGATCTGGCAGTGAGCATGCTCCAGGTCCCCTGGGTGAGACAATGTCATCTTGTGAGCCCTAGGAATTGGGCTTTCTTTGACATGTTGCTTGCCCTATGGAACAGCTTCCCCCCAGAGATACAGACAACCTCAACCTTACTGGCCTTTCTGAAAGCCATGAAAACCTGATTCTTCCCCCAGGCATTGGGGCTAGGCTGTTAGTTTGGGAGCTCTGATGGTGATGTATGGAAGAGGTGTTTTATGTTTTTAATGAGAGGGCTTCAACCTGGGATTTTCTTTGTTTGTTTCATTGCTAATGTTTTCTATGGAATGTTCACTGCCCAGAGTTTTGTCAGATAAATAGGCAGCCTTCCAAATTTGATAAATAAAAACAAACCAGTCTGTTCTTTCATCTGTGTGACAGTCCTTTCAATAATTGAAGCTTGCCTTCCCCTAAATCTTCTGTTCTCCAGACTAAATGTACACAAATTCTTCAACTGTTCCATTAGGTCCAGTTTCCAGAACCTGCCTCCCCACAATGTGAGCATTGACCTAGATAGTTAACAGGGTTAACATTGGATCTGCTGGATACCTTCCTGGACATTTATAATAGTAGGTGAAATTTAAAAGAAATATTGTAACTTTTCATAAGGCTACATCAGGGACATCACTACCAAGTGACTGGGAAAATTGGATGCTGAAAATAAGTCTGTGGAACCCGATTTGTTAAGCCATCATGATCTATGAGACTAAATGAGGTCTTTACAGCTTACTTATTTTTAAAGCATGAGTCCAAAAATGATAAGCATCTAGGCCACAGAGTTGTTAAAGTTATTGAATAATCTTGTTTGATTATTTCTTCAGAAAGGCATAGGAAACTAATTCATATTCTTATCAAATAGACACAAAAAGCTTATCATAAAGCATACTACAGATGACCACAAAATTATTCTTAAATAGAATATTATGGGGATAGGCCCTAATTATGTTTATCAATGGATAAGTAGGACAAATATATATAGCGTCTGGATAGCGTAGTGGTTAGAACACCGCCTTTGATGCAAGAGACCGGGGTTCAAATCCCGGCTGGTACCTACCTGACCAGTAGGGGTCCTTGGGCAAAGACCCACACAAGGGAACAGCACCATTCAACTACCGGCCAATAACCCTCCCCACAACATGGAAAGTTCTATCAGGCATCCTAGCTGCCAAGCTACAGGATCATATGGGCCAGTACCTGAGCACAGCTCAGAAGAGCATTGGGAACAACACCAGAGGCTCAAAACACCAGTTACTCATAGATAGAGCAGTCGCCTGAGACTCAAGGTCTAGGCAGACCAATTTGAGCACAGCCTGGATTGACTACAGGAAAGCCTATCACTCAGTGCCAATGGATCTGTGGATGCCTGGCACTATACAAAGTCAACAGGACACTAAGGACCTTACTCAAGAACTCAATGGGACTATGGAAGACAACACTGGAAGTCAACTCAAGACAGCTCACACAAGCGGCCATCAAGTGTGGCATATACTAAGGTGATTCACCGTCCCCACTGCTGTTCTGCATAGGCTTAAACCCCCTCAGCCATATGGGTACAAGTTCAAGAGTGGAATCACCATCAGCCACCTCCTCTACATGGATGACATC